TTTATACTACTAAGAAGTATAAGTAAAAGCCTTTTATTTTGATAATTAGCAAAAAGTAATATATCTTAAATTCTGACAATAATTTATACAAATTTCACATCATGTCATTTACCCTGTGTAATGTGCCTATCACTTGTGAATGATTGATGGAGCTTATGCTGAAAGGATTGCAATAGGAGGGATACCTGATCTGTGTCAAAGATGTCTTGATATTTCAATGTGTATGACAGGCAAGTTTAAAATTAAACCAGGGAAATATTTGCTTATGCATACAAAGGTGTAATTTTTCAGTCACCATATGGGAAAGGACAGAGTTTATACTGACTTTGCAAAAATTGTATTAGTCAGAGATTGGCTCCAATGGGTTAAACGTTAAGTAAATGACAGATCCACAGTTTCCTAGGGTTTTTCGTATCATCAAAAGTTGACCAATTTCTCAATGATTGCTGCATTTTAATCTGCTCTGATTAAAAATTGAAATGCATAATAGAGGAAGTAAAAACTGTATCCATCCTTTTCAATCATTAAAGTGTGTTTCAGTAGAAACGTTAGGCATGACTGCTCATTGGATTACAACATTGCAAGAGTGCAACTTTGTTGTATCGACTAAGTCTACAACATGGAAATGCCAATAGAGTGTCTCACTAGACAGTGAAAGTTTGTCTGTTCATTGAGTGTCCTATCCCAGACACAATATAAGAGTATAAGTTATTGCAACAGGAGTTATGTCAAACCAGTGATGTGATAATTCCACTAATAGATGGACACCATGGTTCACACTTCTGAAACTTCAGGAAGATTAACTAAAGGACCCAGATCTAGCTTGAGTACTACTTGCTGTACAGCAGTGTGTTGTGTAACAGTCACAAATCAAAGAGTGTAATAGCATAATACTTATGCCTGTAACCTGTAGCACATGCATGAACAGCCAGCTAACAGGACATTAAGGTATGGTGTACCATTATTATAAACCACCAGGACATGATTTTTAACCTTTAATGCAGCTAGTGGTCCCCAGTACTCTCAGATAGGAAATACTTTAGAATTTGCATAATACAAGGACTGGTGGCTATCAGGGTATTTATTACTTTCACACATGCTGACATACAAAAAATAGTTTTTCTAGTCACATTTATGTGGAGATGTTGAGTAATGATGCAAATGCTGTACTGTGTGTAAGGCCCAGAGGGAAAGTCAGCTTTAACAAGAGTTGTAGGTTCTCCATTTCAAAGAACAATTCTAGAACAATTATTCACAGAAACTGATAATAACAACTGACATGTATTAGTCATTATTGATTGGTTCTCCAAATGTACCAAAGCTTATCCATTGGTTGATGTTCTGCCACAGTCCTTTGTTGATGTGTTGGCTAGACAATGGATAACATTTTTAGGAGCACTTGGAGAAATCCACATGGTTTAAGAAGCTAATTTTAACAGCCAGGAATTTGGCAAATCTTTTAATATGTTGGGTGTGATGAAAACACTTTTTGCAATATTACCCCTGTCTGATAGTTTGACAGACTATGCAGTACAGACTATAAAACTGATAATTGTGAAGATTGTTAATCCCAACATTATTGACTAGGATAAATACCATAAATTATGATAGTGTATCTTGCAGTAGAACAGAAATCAACTAGTTCTATACCAAACATGCACATGTTTGACCATGAAATACAGCTTCGTGTGAATGTGATGTGTGGTCTATTTTCTAATTCAGACATTCCAGAGTGTATGCAAGAATATGTGTAGTGATGAAATTCTGCATTAGCTTACCTATGCATTTGCACATCAGCTGCTAGGAAAGGCTGTCATACATAAGAAGGGAAAATATAACAAAGCAGTAAACAATGAAAGTTCAAACATGGAGACTAGGTATGACTTTGGTACATGTCTAAAACATGGTTGCAACATAGCTTTGGCTCAGTGGGTTCTTATCTCATTCTCAGCAACTTAGTTTATCAAACTATGAACTGCAGTGGTGGTCACATTGTGAACATGAGTATGATGAATGCATTGACAAGGTAAAACTGTATGTCACTGATGTACTTTTCATGCACTGACTAGATTAGGAATCAGAAGTTAAAACTGATGAGTCAGAGGAGTGAGAGTACTGTTTTGTATGATTTGACTTGTTAATGAGGAGAAAGATGCTAGAAGTACTTATCTTTCTGGCCAAAAGGAGCCAGATGAGGAAATGCCAGAGAAAGAGCCACACACTTGCTTGATTACAGTTTTTACTTGTCATAAGACATTAGTATTAGGCCTATTACAATTCTACTTGTCTCATGAGACAAGTAGAATTGTAATCATTCTTCAGCAGGTTGTAAAAAGTGCACATGTCATAACAATTGTATTATCAATATCAAATGGCTTATATAATAGTGTTCCAAACACTGCTGTGTTTGTTGTATCCCAATTGGTCTGAAGAACTCTGGTTTAAGCAAAATGTGTGGTCAGCAATAAATATGACAAATATAGAGTGTAATTAATGATGACGAGAAACCCACTTGAAGTAAAAATGTATATCAAAGACAGCTTGTATGGGTATTAAAAACTTTCTTATACTTTATTTTAATTAAAGTTTTTAATACCCATTCTAGCCATCTCTGCTATACAAATATAGTGTAGTTTGAATAATGCTATTGTACACTCTTCTAATTCTTTAAAATCTCTAAGGGAATAGATTAAGAATGTAGTGTTTAAAAATGTAATAAGCCTAATACCAATGTCTTATGAAAAGTAAAGTAGTAATCATTCTTTACCAGCTTGTAAAAGGCATACACACTATAACAATAGCTCTGATGATCATCTAAGATGCCAATAATTACCTCCTGATTGATATGGCTGGGATTAATTGTCAGACTAAGAGGAAGTGGTATTCCTTGCATTTCAAGCTATCAAGCAGTGTTTCATGATAAGATGTATGCACTACATCATGTGATAACTGGTTCGTTATTGTAAAGTTGAGATGACAAAATTAATGCAACTGAAATAGGATTGAAAAACTTATATTCTGAGTCATTGTATAGTTTCAGTATCTGGATATCATTACTTTGATTACTTTACTGGAAGACAGGGTAGGTTTCTTATTCAACTATTTTATTCTTCTGTACTTTTCACATATATGTTGTTTCACATTCTTCAGTTTCTGAAGGTATAATGTCTAGATACTTATTCTTTATTTGCCTACACAAACACCTGATTTCCTTTATCTATTTCTCTATATTTCTGTCTCCCTCTAGATTCTTGTCTTCTTTTATATGTCATTTTTGGAATCTTGTATGGAATCAAGCATGAAAAACTATAATATCGAGCAGTAATTAAGAGAAATTTAATATAGGCATTACAATTGTAAACATATATATACTTGTAGAAATGGTACTTGACCAAGACAACGTTTTGGCACTTTATGTCTAAAAGTTTGTATTTAGAGCAGATTGTAGTTGCAGCCAAAGTATTACAGTTTTTAAACTACAATTCTAGTTGAACTTTTGACCAGTTAGAATCCAGTTTGACTAAGTATTTTCAAGCCTGACTTTTTCAGTGTGAATCAAATTCTTGACCCTTCTAGCTATCTTGTTTGCAACTAGATTTGCCAAAAATTAGTTGACATTCATTCTGCTGTTTTATCACCAGTATTCTCGTGCTGAAGACTAAATATTGTTTGAGGAATACCCCAAGACTTTAGTAGTGATCCTAAGTCTGACTGCAGCTGAAAATAAGCCACTAATGGAAGTTCCTATACTAGCAGAACCCGCTGGCACGTACGATCTCGTAGAAACTTTGATGGCCCCTTCATTGAGTCTAGGGACCATGACATAAAGCCTGAAGTGTTGGGTTCCACCAGTGCTGGAACCAATGGTAAAGACATTTGTGGACCAAAACCTGGCTATTACACAAGCCATACAGCCAACTCCACAATCACTGGTACTATCTAAGGGAGTGCATGTGAACTGTTTGCTTTATTTATTTCATTTTTCATGTGGAAATTCAATTTATGATTAATCCATCTGCAATAACATAAACAGTTCCCTTCTTCTTTAACTATACACTCATTAAATGGTGAGCAACACACGTTGTGTTTCAGCATTTTGTAATTTTTATTTTATATTCTTATGAGTTATCTTGCATTCATGCACTCTTTTATATCATTTAGTGTATATATATATATATATTTATTTTTTTAAAATTAAAATAAACTAACCAAGCTGCATACCCTGCTGAGTTTCCCATAGTTACCTCTACCTGTTGGAGAGGATGCCCATTAGGCATGGTTATGTTGGTAATGATACATCTGGATAAGTTGAAAGTGACTGATATAATCAACAACCAATAATGCCAAGCCACAGCACTAGTTGGAGTCACCAGAGACCAGGAGTATAAGATGCTTCTGAAGGACTAGCTAACTCTCCCAGGAGGAGTTGCAATATTATTAG